AAAACAGAATGAGTTAGTAGAAGGACATACCCCACTCTCCATTCACTAGCAGAGAAAAGTTATGTCTTAACTGGTGGTTTAACACGGTCTGCCAGGAAACATAAAGCTTGTGCTAGGCTTTTTTTTATTAAAAAGTCCAGCGTGCTTTTTAGACATAAATATAATTAATGCACCCTGTAATTCCCGCCTGTAAACATAAAGAATTCATATAAAGAATTTTTAAAAATGTGTAAACTTAAAACAAAAATTCAAATAAATTTCACATAGACCATTATAGTTTCCCTTTAAAAGCCTGGATCGAAGGACTGACGCTGTGTAAATAAAGTTTCCTGAAGCTGCTTTCTCCTTAAAGCACTTGCTTATTTTACAATCATTAAGAGTTGCTGAAAAATCTACGTAATCCTTTTTCAGTAACCAAAAATAATTGCTTGTGTCACTCTATATGCTGTAGGAATGATTGATATAAAGGAGGCAACAATTTCCCTCCCTCTTAGATTGTAAGCCCTCACGGGCAGGGCCCTCTTTACCATCTTGTCTTGAATTGTATTGTAATTATAATGTCTTCCTTACATTGTAAAGCGCTGCGCAAACTGTTGGCGCTATATAAATCCTGTATTATAATAATAATAATTTCCCATAACAATCAGATTCCCGCCTGTCTGCTATGAGCAACTATTTTTTATTATAAATAGAAACTCTGGGTTTGAAATGTCTCCGCTGAGTTGTTTGGAGTTGTTTTTTTTTTAACTACAGTATGGAAATTAAAAGCCCACTTTTTTCTTCTGTTGCTCCCTGTGGCCCATTGGGGAGAATTTCCCTGTCATTTCCTGTATCAGAGACACAAAGGGAAGTGATAAGAGCTGAACCGGTTTTCACACTGAAAGATTTTCATTCTATTCCTGTTCTGGTGACAACTGTAACAGTTTGGTTTTCCCATCACACTTTGTCTTGGAGACAATGGTCACCAGCTCTAATAAAGACTGTGAAGCTGTACGCAGGCAGCAAAAAAATCCTGACTAGGTGCAGAATCAGCATAACATACCTTTGCTGCATTGCAATGCGATTCATCTTCAATGGCACCGCAATGTAAATGGACCCTCTCTCCAAAAAAAAAGTTTTGTTCTTAGATATCATTTTTTTTTTTTACATATGTATAATACAAATGTAAGTACAAAGTTTAAATATAAAGGACAATAGTTATATGTATGGCTTGGAAACAGTCTTGTTATTCAGCTAAAACAATTGTAGGAATCATCATTTTTATATGCATGTTTCATTTACAAACATCTGTGGAAAATCTGTGTCTTTGGTGTCTTGTATTGTACATCTTCAATATTGAAAATCTCCATGCAGTTCTGTTGGACACTGCAGATAATTATTCATAATGGCAACACCCGTTATAGACTTGGTATTTTTTTTTTTGGACCTGACAGACTAGGACAGGGGTGTCAAACTCAATTTATTCGTGGGCCGCATCAACATATGTCTGTAAGACTATATACATGTATCTAATCTTCATCATAATTGCCTCTGCATGCGAGTATCACTGGTTATAATAATAACTTAATACCAAGATCTGAAAGTAGAAGTCTAGGAAATGGTCTGGTGGGCCGGATTCGGCCCCTGGGCCTTGAGTTTGACACATGTGGACTAGGAGGATACATATTTATTTACTCAATTAGTAATCTGCTGCACGTCCACATAGATTCCCTTTAATGCCAACAATCAATTGTGTATTTTCGAAGGACGTGCACTAGCCTGCCCATCGCAAACGATTACATTGAATTATTTTATTGATCTGAGAATGGTTGCCTGAAGTCTGATGGGATCCTATGAGGTAAATCCAATACACTTATACATATGGAATCACACTAAAAACGGCATGTGTTTAGGAGCCTTTTTTTAGGCTTAACTTTGGGTGTTCTATGCATGCATTTTCTTGTTCACTCGTTATGCAAAGTAAGTCATTTAGAACATGAATTTTCCATGGTGCAGGTTTCTTTAAAGATGCACAAAAAGGTCCCTTTGCCCTGTATGGGCAGGGGTACATTGTCTATTTATAGATGTGAACTAGCCATATGGTGAAAAATAGGATTTGTACTTGAAATGCATTTTCGCTGCAGGAAATAGACAAGTGTGAATGGGCTTTTACTTTCCATTTGTACTTAATAAAGTAAACTCAGAATTTTTTTTATAGGAGTGCCAGTCAGTAGCAGTTGTAGCCTTCTTTATTGTTACACTTTCATGGGGCAGCTTACATGGTGCAATGTACTGTACATTGTATACAATTTGTACATATTTTCTTACAAAGGCATTGTCTATTCACCAGGCTCATTTTCTTTATCATTTTTAGATATATAAATTGTTTATATTGAATTAATTCACAGCACACAGTAAATAATAATATTGTTGATTTATAACATGTGGAGGATTTTCTTCGGTACATTTCAGGCACTTTCTATTGTCCTCGATGAACCAAATGATCTGTAAAATACAGAAAGAAAATAAATAGCAACCAACAATATACTGAAAAAGCAGTTAACATTTGTTGGAAACATTGCGGAAGATCTTCTTTATTCATGCTTCTTACTTTCCCCAAACAATAGAAAGGTAATAGAAAAGAAAAATATAAGAAATTAAACTAGACAGGTATGGAGCAGGGGGTGTCTCTTGATCAGGAGTGGGCAATTCATTTTCTCAAGGGGCCACATGAGAATCTGGGATGGCTGTGGAGAGCCAAACTGACTAACGCATGATACAGCGCAATGCACAAACAGTGTGGTACAGCGCAGCAGGTGCTTTGCATTGCCAGTCATTTGAATGACACCCCAAACGTACCTCCTGGCCACAGAGTGACTGCGCCGTAACATGCGGTACCATAATACCATGCATTGCGGTTGAAAAAAGTAGTGCATGCAACGCAACTATCGCACTGTAACACACGGCAGGTGCGTTTCACAATACTGTTCCTTAGTTGCTGCTGGGCGAGAACTTCACACACTATACAAGCAGCTGGCACACTCGTGTCAAATCCCCCCCACCCTTTTATATACCATTTAAACATTTTTTAACAGGTCATGGTGGGAGCTGCAGGAGAGAGGAGAGGAGGACTTAATGGTCACACTTGTCACTGGTTGTCAGGAACCCACAGCAGTCCTTGGAACCAATTACTGCGAAGGAGGACTCCTGATGTCATTGGTTGCTAAGCCCACCCAGCTGTCCTAGCAACAAAGGACTGAATGTAAACCAGGGGCAGACACTGACCGATCACCAACATATGCTGGGCTATGGCTTGAATTAGATGCATCTGCCTCTGAGGCTTGTGCATCCACTGTCAGCCACCCATAATGGAGTGCAGGATGGAGGGCCAGACCGCCACAGACCAACGGCCGGATGCAGCCCACAGACCGTAAAATGCCTAGATCTGCTGTAGATCCTATAGACAAAAGCTAAAGCTAGCCATACACTGCTAGATTGTCCTCCCTCAATGCTAAACAACGTAGATGAAGGAAACGCCACTGCTAGCTATTGTATTCAGCAGCCATGGCACACTCAGGTGCCTGAATACCTGAATAGTGACTTCATGTGATAGGATGCTTGCTGGGTCATCCATAGCTTGATTTTTGCCAGATTCAGCAGGAATTTGCTGAAATTCAAACCATCTATGGCCAGTATCAGACTGAGGGACCAGTACTCATAGGAGTCCAAACCCAACCCGTAGACTCTTTATCATAGTGTCCAACCCAAAAGGCCCATCTTATATTGATAGGTCTGCTGTGTTCCCCAGTGAATGGTAAATGCAAATTCAATTTGCATTATATAAACAGTCCAATTGCTAAAAACACTCCTGTGATTGCAATAATAATTACAGAAGCAGAGGACATGGCAAGGTGAAAGCTTTCCTCAAAGATGAAGAAGGAAAATGAAGTCCATGCTTCCATTTTCACACGTGTGAATGTTTCTTATAAGACACTACTTGGTGATTGGCTAGAACCCAATTCTTAAAACACAAAATCTTACTCTTTCTTTAGTATATTTTTGTTTGGTTGCTTTTCATTGGTTGATCTCATTGTGTTTTGAAAGCATGTCTAGTCTTAGATAGGTGCTGCCAGGGCAGTTACACATGATACTAAATATGACAGCAGCTAAAGGTGCCTTCATGTACCTTCACAGTCTACATAAGCATGACAGGATCTTGGAAGCATGGGGCTCTCTGGTCTGTAAGCTTCAACATTTTCAGGTAGTATTAGGCCACCACCTCCTACTTTCTGCACACTCTTTTGGCCAACAGGAAGATGGGAGTGTGTAGACTACTACTACCAGGAAGTGCCAAGGCTTGCAGATAAAAGTGACCCATGTTTTGGGGTCCCCAATGTCTCTTGAATGTACATACAATCACCCCTAGGTTCCTGTACCCAGGGCCGGTGCTGACACTAGGCAAACTAGGCAGCCGCCTAGGGCGCACTGCTGCTTAGGGCGCAGCCTCGGCCACTGACCCCCCCTGTCTATTTCAAATTGCAAAAGCCATTAGCAGACTGGCTTTTGCACCCACCCACTGAGCAGAGGAGCATAACTGAGAGACTCTCTCACAGGTCTACTACTCTGCTCAATAGGTGGGGTTTCAATAGCAAGTCTGCTACTGGCTTTTTAAATTAAAATGGTCAATAGCATTCTTGCTATTGCTCCTGTCTGCTTACATCCACCTCTTGCCTGCAGAAGCTAGCTAGCAGGAGAATGGTGTCGCATAGGGGGGGGAGGGGGTATTGCGCTGTGGGAGGAGGGCTGGAGGGTGCAAGTAGTTAGTCTTGCCTAGGGCGCAAAATAGTCTAGCACCGGCCCTGCCTGTACCTAATATCTGTGCTCAATTTACATTTACATGTTAGTAATACAACAGGTCAACGCTGTGTTAGTTTTTTCCCACAGATAATTTATATTTATAGTACACTATCAATAGCATTTTAGGTTCTCACAATAATGATAATCATATAACTCACCAGTTATAGAAGACATCTTAAAGGTTGCCCATAAACAGATTGATGGTAATCAGTGTGACGGTCAGTACGAGCAGTGTCTGGAAGGGGCTGTAGATGGACACAGCTGAGTCTGGCTTTGGTGGAACGGTGGTGGTCGATGGTAAGTTTTTGGCATCAAATGCCCTGGTCTGAGCATAGACATTGTTCAGTATGAATTCCAGCTTGTATCCACTACCTGTAACAGAGAGGAGGAAAGATAAGACTTCATATTTTTCTGTATAAGAAAAGGTGACCTTATTAAGGAGCTTTTTATAAAAACATGCACAACGACAATGCAACAGAGGTGAAGTGTTCAATTATGATCAGACAAATTGCTCCGTTGTGAACGAAACCCTTTAAAGGTCAGAAGAAGTAGTGATGCATCAGTAGAATTCAAACTTTTTTGTTAACCCCACCTCCCTGAAGTCCCCCATCAGTATTAATAAAAACCTATACATAACTTTTTTTTTCTAGTCTTCAGGCTAGTCGGGTGAGATCACGTGTCCGTCCTTTTCTTCGTTGGGGGTAGGTGGGCCTTCCTCCTAGACTGAGCAGCGCTCACATAATGGTGTGTTAGTGCCATTCAGTTAAGGAGTACTGTGAGTTCAGGCTGAGTGATGACACGCCCCCAGGGGGCAGGTCCATGACAGCCTGGTGAATTGTGTGACGCTATCTGTCATTCAACCAATGAGACTGGCAGCATCTAGTGGCAGAGAAGAAGAACTGCGGAGCATATCTTTGGATCGAAGATCAGTATTGTGGGGGTGTTAGATGGTATGGGCAGTGGGAAAGGTAAGTACTTATTTTCTTTTCCGGAGGGAGATCTTTTTTCCTAGAACTTAAGACATGATCACTTTAAAACCACTTCCATGTAACGTGGCCCTTTACATACACACACAAGCAAAGATATGAAATGTTTCTCCTACCTGGAAGTTTGAGAACAAGGTCAGTGTAGTTGGCCCAGCAGCTGTTAAACAAAATGGTAGTGTTCCCATCCAGTCCACTGCTAACGTAGGTGTTATTTGCATATTTCAGTGTTGCTGTCAGTGACATTGAACTGCTGCTCACAGAAACACAATTTCCCTACAAACAAAACAGAGTTAAAGCTGAACTCAAGGTAGAAATCAAAGCATATTTACTCCATGTATGTACAGTATTCATAAAAAATCAGGATTGTCAACTCCTCCCATGCTCGCCTCCAGGACTTCTCTAGAGTCTCTCCCATCCTCTGGAACTCTTTACCCCAATCTGTCTGACTATCTCCCACCTTGACTGCCTTTAGGCATTTCCTAAAGACTCATCTCTCCAGGGAAGCCAATCCCACCTCAACCTAACCACTAAACCATCACATTCGCAAACAATTAATTCAAAAAAATGTTTTTGCATATATCTTTTGCTCGCTAGAAGCAGATATATGTAAAAAACGCTGAGGTCAGCAAGTCCAGTTGCCTTGATTTATTTTTTACAGATATACCATGACCTGGATGAATGAGAACCTTCACAGATGTAACTAAGTCTGTAATTGAAGCCCAACTCTGGGCTATTTTTAAGTACCCCTCTGGTCCCCCTAGCTATCATTTTAACCTTCAATCTGGAGCTGTGTCCTACATTACCTTTTATTCGCCATCGGCGGTTTGTAAAGTGTTAGAGGGCATGATTAAGGACCACTTAGTAGAATTTGTTCAGGTTAATGGCATAGTAAATGACAGCCAGCATGGATTTCGGAAAGACCGTTCTTGTCAGACCAACCTGCTAACTTTTTACGAACAGGTAAGTAGAGATCTGGATGGAGGGAGGCCGGTGGATGTGGTATACTTGGACTTTGCTAAAGCATTTGACACAGTACCACATAAACGTTTACTATACAAGCTGAGGTCTATGGGCATAGATGAAATGGTGTGTACATGGATAGAAAACTGGCTACAGGAACAGGTACAAAGAGTATCGATAAATGGCACCTTCTCGGATTGGGCTAGGATCATAAGCTGCGTTCCGCAGGGGTCTGTGCTGGGCCCCATGCTGTTTAACCTATTCATTAATGATATTGGGGAGGGGGTAAACAGCCATGTTTCAGTGTTTGCTGATGATACCAAAATCGAGAGGAGAATAATCACTGAATCTGACGCTATAACATTACAGGAGGACCTGGATAAAATAGAGGAGTGGGCAACTACATGGCAGATGCGGTTTAATGTAGATAAATGTAAAGTTGTGCACTTTTGGCGTTAAAAACAAGAAAACAGATTACACACTAATGGGAGCTACGCTCGGAAAGTCAGAAAGGGAAACAGATTTGGGGGTCATTATAGACCACAGGCTGAAAAATAGCTTGCAGTGTCAGGCTGCGGTAAACAAAGCAAGTAGAGTAATTTCCTTATTAGGAGGGGAATGTTTTGCAGTGACAAGTGCATAATTGTGCCAATTTATAGATCACGGGTTTGGCCTCATCTGGAGTATGCGGTCCAGTTTTGGGCAACAGTGAACAGGGGAGATGTCCTTGAACTGGAAAGAGTCCAGAGGAGGGCAACCAAACTCATAAAGGGATGGAGGACCTGAGTTTTGAGAACAGGCTACTAAAATTAAACATGTTCTCCTTGGAAGTAAGGAGATTATACATGATTTTCATGTATAAAATGTTTACTGGGGATAGTAACATTAGCAGCAAACTTTTTACAATTAACTCGATGACAAGGACGAGAGGCCACCATTTAAAATTGGTGGAGAACAAATTTCAGCACAAGGGGCGAAGGGGTTAGATCAGTCAAGGTATGGAACTCGCTGCCACATACTGTGATTTCGGCCCAGAGTGTGGAATCATTCAAGAGGTGATTGGACGATTTCCTCAGGGACCGTAATATACAGGGGTACAAGTACTCTTAAGATTGAGAACACACATGGACCTATGCACACTACACACCAATAGGACCATACACACATACACAAATAGGTTGGACTTGATGGACATATGTCTTTATTCAACCTCAAATACTATGTAACTATGTAAGATGTCCTCAGTTTTCCAGGTTGAATGAAGCAGAACATCACTCAACCTGAAAGACTGAGGAAAGGCAGTCAGTGCAGGGCATCATGGCCACACCCCATGAGCACAGCGCCCTGCACTCACAATGCATCAATGCAGACAGCGGCGTTGATGTCATCACATTTGTTGTGTCCGCTGCATTATTCCGGACAGCAGAAGACTGAGGAGCAAGAGGACACAGCCCATCAGAATAAGGTAACAAAACAAAGGCATAAAATGATGCTGGGGGGGAGGCAATTTGGCACAAAGGCCGGAATTGAGCTTTAAGTGAATGACGTGAAAAAGCTTCTGATAACATTTAAAGTTCTGATTAAAAGAACTTATAGGAAACTTACATTGGAATCTTGAGCCATTATAGATGGCTGCTGTAATAGCTTTTGTCCCGGCAATCCAGCCACAGGTTCAAAGATTACTTTCAGCGTGGAGACTGTAGCCAGATAGTTTCCGGTGGATGATGCCTGGGTCCTGTTATCAACAGGCTGCGATGCCACCTGAAAACAGATAACATTTCTTTGTCAGTGTGTTCTGGAACATCACTGGCTGCTACTCAGTATATATTCATCCTAGAGTATATATAATTAACTTTATAGATATTTAATGTACATGAATATACTTTATTGTAAGAGAGAATCAATTCCCCACTGCTCTACACTATCTATACACAAAGTACTTGTTATCAGGGCAGCAAGTGAGGGAAATCATCCCAACAGGGACAAAAAAAAAAGAAAATAGAAATGCTAAGCCTTCCTCCAACATTTTCCTTTATATAACCTTCCGGTGACACCTATTAATGGGACAGGAAGTCAGGAGTGCATGACTTCCTGTACCTGAATGAAATCTAGCTTTTCCCTGCTCTGGCCCAAACCAATAAAACATCTATACGTAGAATATGGCTTTAAATTATCTGTATCTAAAGGCAAAACTTTTTTTATTTTTAGAGTGATGAGGGGTTAGGACCCATCTGAGGCTTTTATTGATCCCTGTGTACCTGTTAAGGAGATTCACTCATTTGAAATGACCGAAAATCCCAAATTTTGAGTTATCAACAGAACAGGAAACAGAACAGAACAGGAAAAGAGGGGGAATCTCTCATTGAGGACAGAACAATTGTCATGTTGTGTTTATATAACCGGAAGTGAAGAGAAATCTCCCAATAGTAAACGGATTTAAAAAAACTGGCAAAGGTTACTCTTTCTCTGCTTCAGGGGTAGGCAACCTCGATACTCCAGCTGCGCTGAAACTACAAATCCCGCCCTGCCTTTGGGAGTCATGCCTGAGGCAGTCAGAGTCTTACAATATCCCATGGGACTTGCGGTTCGACTGGAGTGCTGAGGCTGTCTACCCCTACTCGACTCTATCCAACATAAAAGTTGTGGCTTTATGTTGATGTTTTCCTTTTCTTTTTGAGGTGTCACAATATAGGTACTAAACAGTCCATGAATTGTTGAGATGTCATAAGGGTTCAGGTTTCTTTACCCTGAAATCTCAAAATGACATTTTGGGGTTGATTTACTAACCTTTTAAACACACCACGAACGTGTATACACCTCTGTAGTGTGTTCCCTCCCAGCATGATCTATGGGAGGAATCGAAACACCTTTGTAGTGTGTACACACCCAGCAGGTGTGTTGTTCAAAGCCCTGCAATGAATTGCAAGGTAATGTGATGTAAATTAGCTCTATGTTATGTTGCTTGCGTTGATGAATGCAGGAATGTAAATGCATGAGCTAACCATTTTTGTCTAAACTGTGAAGCAGCATTATATATGCATCATGTGCATGATTTTTCCATATATGGCATTAGTGGAAATATGCTTTTAGAGACTTTTTGGTTGATAAATACGTTTTGCTGTGTGAAAATCACACACACCTGGTGTGTGTGTGTTTAGGTTAGTAAATCAACCCCTTTGTCTCCTTGCAGTATGCATGGGCTAGCTAACAATCTATGGGCCACCAAAAACTATAGGCAAACCATATGAAATCCTGACCTAATCCAGACAGAATTCAGAACATTGCCACTGACATTCAAGCTAAGGCTTGCAATGATCGCAGCTGATGCACATTTTTACTAATTTAAACATGCAAAATAGAAATTGTGGCAGCAGGCAGAGGAAAATGTCTGAGTCTAGCCAAGATGACAGAGTTGTATACCCTAGATTCAGATATAATACCATGGATCCCAACCTGAGAAACATAATTTCAGGGAGGTGCCCTTCTCATTTCAGGGAGGTCCCCTCTCCAACCCCCCACCCCCCTTGAAATATTGAAATGATGGCAGATAGCAAAGAAACTATTGCTTCCCTTGCTATATGCTGAGGTTTTTGTTCAGTATTCTGACAGCTGCTGCCATCAGAATAAAAAAAAAAGAAAAACAGCATAGGAATGAATAGCTAGGCTTCTATTGGCTATTTCAATTTGCAATAGCAAGCTGGCTATTGCACCCGCCCTCTGCTGCTGTCAATCAGAAGAGGAGGACCTGATGGAGAACTTCAGGTCCACCTGTGCTGATTGACAGCAGCAGTGGGCGGGTGCAATAGCTAGTCCGCTATTGGCTATTGAAAATTGAAATAGCCAATAGAAGCCTAGCTATTCATTCCTATGCTGTTTTTTTTTTCTCTGACTGGCTGGCGGCCCCAATGTGAGAACAAAAAAAAAACAGGTAGCAGGGAAAGGTTTACTCTGCTAGATAGAGCAGAGTAACCTTTTCCAAGAGAAAATGTTTCTCTCCCGGGTCGCCGGGAGCCGCTATCTAATAGCAGAAGACTCCCGCAATGTCCGGGAGAGTTGGGATGTCTGTAATACTGAAGTTCTTCCTCTAGGGGGAAGTGCTGAGAGGGCTGGAGGCTTGGAGGTAACAAGCCCAGCTGAAGTTAGCTGGCTTGTTAGGGCCTCTACAAGAACTCCCAGCCTCCTAAGAAAGGGGCCCCACCCTAGAACCAGACTGTGTGTTTGGCGGACTGGGGAGCAGATCACCTGTGTGGCAAAAAGCAGCCTGTGTGGGAAAGGTTTTGTTAAAGAGACAACCTGAAGTCGGTGAGACGGTAAAAAGGTTATGTTGCTGAAGGAAAAAGCCGAACTTTGTGTTTAACCTGTTGGAGAAGCCCCTGTGAGGGAAAAACGTCTGTGAATGTTTAAATAAAAGTGGGCAGGAAGCCCTAAAAAGAAGTTGTTTACTAGTGGAGGTGTTCTGAATGCGCTACCCTTTGTTGCTAATCATCACAATAAAAAAACAGAATGCACCGGACAGTGCAGATAAAAACCCCTTTTCATGGATGAGAATTGTAAACTTACACTTACAATACAGTGATTTGATGAGGGCATATTACCAGGGAGCACCCCTCCAAAGTAAAGCCAGGTCACACCAACACTGGCTGAAAACACTCTCACTGGGTAGCCAGCAGAAGGAGGGATGTAAGCAAAGATGGAAACACCTGAAATGGACATTGCAGGAACCATGCAGAAAGGAACTACAAAAAGTCCCCAAAAGCAGATGTTAAAGTGACAATAAACTCAATAAAGAGTTAAATCTTAAAAATGCATTCACGTACCTTAACTCTTCGAGTACCTTAACTCCCGTGATGGACTACAGTCTCACATTTAGTTTACTAATTTGTATTGAGATTGTAGTCCATCACAGGAGCGAGCTTGGAGCGGTGGCTTCTTTACAACAAACACAGGGACCATGGGGAACAAAAGTAACCACCCTCCAGAAGGAAGGACAGTGTCAGCACCAATTCAGAGATGATTTGAGGATCTACAACCAAGTGATGCACAAAAAGGGTCCATTTTTGTTAATAGTTAAGGTAGGTAAATTAATTTTTAAGATTTAACTCTTAAGTTTAGTGTCACTTTAAGCAAAGGCTGAAGTTGTTTCTTTGGTTGCCTTCAATAAGTGTAGGCACTTGCTAACCCAAGATTCAGCTGTTGACGTGACCTGGCTATCCATTGGAGGGGCTCTTTCTGGTGCTATGCCCTGATCAAATCACTTTATGGTAAGTCCAATTTGACCATTTTCATCCATTAAAAGGTGTTTTTATCGGCACTATCCAGTGCATTCTGTTTTATGTTTCTCTCTTGCATGTTTATATGGTCTTTGGATATATACAGAGTTTGCCAGGATAAGCATCTGAAGATATGAATTTTACTCATTGACTGGTTCAGGGAAAGGTGAGAGAATTATCAATCCATCATTCCAATTACTGGTATTACCTGACTCCAGCCTGCGTCACTCGGAGATGGCACAGGATCAGACACTGACAGAGATGAAACAGTGACATTCAGGTAACTGCTGAGACTTCCGTTGATTGCAGCCGATGCCAGGTTTTTACTCATTGACTGGAAATCCGAGTATGACAGATTATCTACATAACAAGACAGAGAAATACTTAACATCTGGTTTTCATACATGCATATAACTGTAGACATGAGAACAATGTTCAGTGCATATATATCACAATGTTACTATGGATTATATATTGTGTGTCCACCCATCAGTCACTAAGTGTTCCAAATCCAGACTGTATTTGGTTGAAATCTGATTTGCTGACCACATGATGTCTACAAAGTGGGCCACTTTACTATGGGTTTTATTTATAAACTATCCGTTGGGCCATTTTCCCTGTTAATATTTGTGCTGTGACTGAAGAAGGCAAACTGTAAGGGCTTGTTCACACCAAATCCGGATCAGATCTGGATGAGTTTCTGCATATGCAGTGCAGTGCGCTTTGACTCATGCTTGCAGCATTTTTTCTGAGGGGACCGGACCAGAATGCAGGCATTGATGTGCCTTGTGTTCCCGTGTGTCCGATCGCATTGCAGCCGGAGGCCGTGGCTACGGTGCCATTCACTACAAGGAACCGCCACACCCCCTCCCGCCCCACAACATAGTGAGCCGGCCGCAATGCGATCCAGTGCGTTCCGGCCAGAATCCGGCCGGAACGCACTATGTCTGGTGTGAATGAGCCCTAAGACTCTGCAAACCTCTTTGTGATGCAATTGCAACTGTATTAAAATGATTTGAACATAAAGGTCAGTTGGTATTTAAGGATCCATTCAGATTCCTATTCACTCTGTTGCATTTAGTTAATGCACACATAAATGCACCTTATGGCATTAAGATAGACCTTACTGAGACAGGGCACCATAACACACTGTAGTGCATTACTATCATGGGGTGCTGTTTCAGCAAGGCACCTGCATTGCAGTGCACCATGTGTTGTGGAGCACAGCAATGCAGGTGCCTTGCTGAGACGGCACGCCCATGCACCAGATTGCATAAAGTGCATTACCGCTACACAATGGTGTTAATCCAGCCTAAAGCAGTAGAGACTAGGACATGATTTACATTTACAAAAAGGTTTAACGTGATGCACTGCAAAAAAACAGCAATTAATGGAAATTAACAAAAGGCAGTTTACACAAGACCCTACATACAGTATATGTGTCATGATAAAATAATTTAAAGATTTATTTGCCAAATTTGTGCATGTCAGCTAGTCAATTATAATACTGCAACAGAGGAACTGTGCATAGGGTGATTGTAACTGTATTAGAGCACGCACAACAAAAAATATGAGTACTATAGCTAATACTTTTTTTATCTGCACCACAATTTTATTCTGGACAAATGTTTGGGAGATCCACTCCCTTCTTGGAGCAGTAAAACATATACTTACATGAACTATATATTTTTTTAAGGTTGAGATGGTTTTCCAAAATTATTTACAATAATATAATAGCCAGATTATGATGATGAAAATAGATAATAAATAGCTGTTTTATTGTAATTGTTTATTAGTGTTAAAAATGTATAACAAAAAAATCTGTCACCTCAATGTATTTAGGGAACTCCCTATTGGTGTATTATGGTCACTACAATGCCCCTTTGTTACCTGTAGAGTTGGAAGTTGTGTTTGTCTGCACAGCAGGTGGATCTGAAATTTCCACAGAGACACTGAGTCCCCCTGTTGCTCTCTTTCTTCGTCTGGATCCCTCCTGAACGATCTTTGTGATACGAATTTTGTTGGCAGGGATCTTCAGGAAGAGTGCCAGGTTCCTCACAAGGTTCTGCCCGTAAAACTGGTCCACGGTCATTGCGGGTAGATTGAAGGCAACAACAATGAGGGGAGATGTGCGTATTTCCACTGCGGTGGATCCTCGGACCAGGATATACAGCATTTTGTAGTCACTGTCAAAGAAGTTTGCTCCATACACAGAAGAGTTCAGCTGCGGCATATATTGACCTTTAAAACAGGCAACAAAAAATGGAATTCAGTAAAATATTGTCTACAATTTTCTAATCACAGGGATGTTTAGAAGGGATGAGCGAACCCAGACCCTCAGAATGATATGCTGTCGATCTCTGCCCTGCTTCATGATCTCCAAAGAAACATCAACAGAGTTCAGAGCTTGTTCAAATCGTTCAAATGCAAGGACATTTGCAAGTAGGCTCATTGGCTCTGGTAAGGCAGCTGCCCAACAAGGCCTCCCTTTTTGAGAACCCGGAAGTAACTCAAAGTGTAAAAATAATAGGGGTCAAACCAAAAGGTAGAAGATGCCTTTAAATATTCATATTTCCATCAAACAAAAACAGCCAACACATTTCAGGTGCAACTCCTCCCTTATCAGGGTTTAAAGTGGAATGAGGACTTAAAAGGACTCAGAAGATACTATACCCAAATGGATCTTTATATTATTTGGTATAAACGTTCCTTTAGGACTGGAATTGTAATTATATCCTCAGCAGCAGCTTTTTCTGATAAATTGGAATCAGTACTAGCTATACAGTGTCCTCTCTGAATATTGTTTCAGTACTACACAGCAGAAACACCTTCTGTGTCACTGACCTGGAACAAGTACCCAGAGTGGTGACATCACGCTGACATAACTTGCTGTAAACTTGTTATAAATCAGTGACTAAAAGTATTGAAACCAGAGGATGAACAAGACAGACAGGCTGCTAGTATTTTTACAAGCAAGGGTGGTCAGCAATGGAATGTTCCACATATGTCTCTTGACAGATTTCCTCTATTGCCAGCATAATGCTACGTGTATTGCGAAGGCATTAGTAATCACGCATTCTGATTTACCTTTGTAGGTTGGACCTTTAAGAGTGAAGTCAGATCCCTTCCATTCTATATTAGTTGGGTATATATAGGTACTGTTCAAATAAACATCCAGGCGTTGGGGATTTGAGAAGTAGATTCCAACAAGAAGAGACTAACAGAAAACAGAGAATGACATCAGCATAAAAATCTGATATATCCAAAAGGACAGTACCAAGGTGTAAACATAAAGGGTGAAGATCCACCAAAGAACGATGCCACTGGTCATCCTTAGCGGTGAATAAAGGATACATCATGCTTAACTGGCACATAACTCTCTTGCTGGTAAACTTACGTTGGTGTCGTCGGTGTTGAGTAGCTTAAGGCGCATTTTCTGGGGACTTGTGCTAGTGAAATAGATATCAAATGACTTGTTTGTTGCCACTATGGAATGGAACAATGAAACTCTTTTTTGACAGGTGTATCCAGAGCACCAGCCGTGGTCTTGGGGCCCTGTAAGTATAGAAAAGCATTAATCTTTTTTTATTTTTTTTAATAGTGAATTTTATTAGGTTTTCATGTATAAAACATACAAAACATACACAGTAAGGAAAAAAACAAGCATAAAGCAGTATATAGGCATTGTCAAGGTTTGTAGGGAGGGTACAGAGATGAATAAGCACCGCCGCATTCCTTGTACAGCAAAAGGGGTAGGAGAACATGTCTTCTCCAAGAAGAGTAGTGGAACAGCAAGGTAGAACGTCCGTGACTTTCGGGATGTGTGCAGTCCAAAAAGTGTGCACCCAAGGGAGGAATGCATTGGGTGACATAGGGGGTGGATTCTATATTTTATGGGCACACATGGACAGCCGTGTCAGCATCAAGAAACGTAATTTCCTTGACTAATTCCACAGCACCTAATTTGATTCCAACTTTCATTTTTTAAACTGTCATTTTCCAGGGCAATTTGTATTCTGATTGGTGGGTATGGGGAAACAATTACCGCTCTTTAGAGTTTATTTTTGTGGAATTTGGGAACCTCAGCTTTCCCCGGATCCCATGAGAAACACCAAACGTCATCAATCACACCAGAAGCTGGGGTGTAATTGGAGTATTTTTTTAAATGGAATTGTTTTCATATACTTAGCATATATATGCAGGCAGCAGTGTACTAGCTAATATGTGGATTATTTTCATGCAAAGTCCACTTTATTCTGCAAATTTAATTAATGGAAAGTAATACTGATTCACTGCTAGTGAATGATGTATGATTGCTTTATCAGGTGATAGCTTTATGATAGTGTTACCTTTTAGCTATTAGTAAGGAAATAGATAGACAGTTAAGAAAACTCTTGAAATAAAGCACACAGGGTCTGATGTATATGACAGTTCATGTATAATCACACATATATTTATTTTTATAATCTGTATAATGAAAACATACCATTAATTAGATCTATATAGCCATCTCCCAGCACGGCTACTGGGGAAAGTCGTCTAGTCTCTGTGTCTACATCCAGACTCTCAATAACAAGCATTTCATAATTCAACCCAAAGCATTTGTAGCTCTCCCAGGCTGCCATGTACACACAGGTGCCATCTCTGATGATTCCTTAACAAAAGGCAAGCAGATGGGAGCATTATTATCAGGGATACATATAAATCAGTTTGTATAATATGAAATATAACATTATTTAGAACTAAAAAGAAGGATTTGTATGAATCATTATGAATAATGTGACACCGGTGTTCAGGTGAAAGCAGCAAAAGAGGGTCACTGGCACCTCCTCCACATATGCTGAAACCAGATTTTTACCTACAGCACCACCCGCAGGTGAAATCTGGTAGTTTGCCCAGTAAAGCAACAGTACATAGGCATTTTTTAGATTAACGGATTGTAATAATTATTATTTTTTTGTGGAATATGAAAATGTTTACCTTTATATGGAGCCACCTCTGATACAGGTATCCGGCCTCCATTCAGACGGGTCAGCATCACCTTTGGAATTCTGTAATCTCCAAGTCCATGGCTCTTGTCTCCGTCCCACTGATATTCTGATTGTGGAACCACAGCACCTATTTTCCCCAGGAAGGAACCATCAAGATCCTTCAAGAGCGACTTCTTCTTTGCATCACAGTCCATGTCCACACAGTCTGAAGGGTTAGCTTTGCTATATTTGAATAATTAAATAGGTCAGAGGAACCCAAAAATATAAATGAGTATGTCTAAATGGTTTTGCACTGGACAGTACAGAGCATGTGCTGACTTCAAAGGGATAATGATAAAATGGCACCCGGTATCGCCTCCTAATGGTGACAGAGTCCCATTGACCTTCATTAGGTTGCAGCAGTAAGTAAAATGAAAAGTGAAAATACACTATTAAGAAAAATGGAGGGGGGGTAAAGTTAATCAACTAATCATGTGAAGTCCATTTAAAGGTGGTAGCTTGGTTATATTTGGAGCATGGTAGGCAGCCCCAACAGCAAGATCTGCCTGCTATAATTCTTGACGTTGACAGTTACATTATTAAGTAATTTCATTAATTAATTAGAAAATAGGAAAGAAATTTAATTTTTTGCACATTTGTCAACCGATAATAAAAAACAAAGCTGGGAAGTCTGATTTTCTTTTCTTTTTAAATAAAACAGTGCACCAAATAGAAGTCTTATATATTTAATATAAATATACATGTTATTTAGGTGACCAAATAAGGCATGAAGGTATTGTCAATTTACCTCTACATGCTGACACTGCTACATTTTAACTGGACTCCTAGACATCAACGACCTCTGGCTACAAAATGGTTAAAGAGTACACAAACCAAATGTTTTATCTCTCCAAAATCTATTAAACACTGCACTATCGGTTTTGGGTGGACTGACCCTTTATGGAACAGCAAAGCCGAACCAATATTATCAATGGATGAAATTGCTGAGTAGAACTTACGACACGTCTGGCCGATGGATGTAGACTTTCTGGTTCTCGGCACTGTCCACTAGTGTCAGTCTGGAGACCTCTATGGGGTGCTGCAAGTCTTCATTTTCGGGGTTGGTAATGAACATCACATTGCTCTCACCAGAGCACACACTTTTGTAACTCACAAATATTGTATCTGGAAATGAAATAGTACAGTTAATAAATGTTTAACAATAAAATATATCAAACACACAAGACATATTTTAAGTACATGGAAATAGTCAAGGTAACGGTAAAAAAGAACTCCAGGCTAATAATCACAAAATCAATTTACATGAATTAATCATGCATTAAAGGGACTATGTTATGGGGGAAAACTTTTAAAAGCAGCGGATATTTGGGGCTGATTTATAAATCCTCCACCCAGCATATAGCTGGGCAATTGCCGTTCGCACAGCACTACCACCACTAGATATCACTGAGGAGCATAGGATTTCCATTGTTTCTCAGCTCCATCTAGTGGTGGTAGTGTCGTGCAAATGGCATTCACTGGGCTGAAGATTTATAAATCTGCTCATTAGGGATGCACCGATATCAAGTACTGTACTCGGTACAAGTACAATTACAGATACTTTTCCAGCTCCAAGACTAGACTAGAGAAAAATTCAAAAGTTAGGAGGCAGCTGTCATTTGTAAGGAGCACACGGAGCTCCTGGGATTTGTACATCCCTGTTTTAATGTATGATTTTGTTTTTATAAATATAAATAAAGGGATGCACCGATACCATTTTTGCAAGTACAAATACTGATACTTGTCCAAGTACTTACAGATACAAGTACTAATACATGTTTGTTTATTGTCATGTGACAGTTTTTCTAAAACAATACAGACTAATGATTTCAGGACAGTGGTGGAGCACCAGAGCCTGGTCCCAGCTGCAACCACTGAAACCCTGGTAGTTCTCATGAAAATGCCAAGTATCGGCACTGGTATCTGAAAAGTATTGGTGCATCCCTACTGCTCATAACTGTTGGCCATGCTGTCATGGTTAAATTCCACTATGCCAACGCCCACTTTCCCACATTGCTATTGGCCAATAACCATGATAGACAGCCTCACTAGACAATAGGAATGTACAGGAGGCAGGAAGGGATGGGCAAGCTTCACTATTGTCAGAAAGTATGGAAGCTTTGCCTGTCAGAATTCCAAAGTTCAGCCATTGCAGATGGGTTTGGGAGGCTGTTGCAGGTATAACTGCATTATGTTTGTTTGTTTTTTTCCTTAACAGAGTCTCTCTATAAAAATTATTTTGTTAATTACCGGTAATATAAATAACTGAATCTCTACTTATACGAACTTCCTTTAATCCACTGCATAGTATCGCTCAAATTAGGAGAGGAAGGTTCAGCACTCTAAGTCAATCACAACTCTACTGGCTTGCATAGCATTGACCTCAAAAATCAGCTCCTACTCCTTCAGAATCCAAAAACAAGGAATTGGGGAGGTGGGTAGAAAGCTTGACCAAAGAAGATGGATTTTATCAACTGTTTTTTTTTCTTACAGTCACCCTTTAGAAATATGAGTGCCATTATTGTGCACAAGGAGTCTTCCTACAGTAGAAGGCAGAACATATTCATGGGACATATACGAAGACTGTGATTGAGATGCATTTGCCTGGAGTTCTAAATAAATGATAAACAACATTCATGAGAATATAGGAGCAATTATGAATGTAAGAGGTATAGGAAAAGATTACCCTCCACGGTCATTAGTCCACTGATTGCATTGTAGCTCATTAGTCCTGCATTTGGGTGCCCTGGTGCCATGTTATGAGCAGAGGCAAACGTTGGCCAGCAGATGCCGCTTCTACCACCTGGTGGAGAAAATACAACGCATATCATACCTTGTATCTATACACTTATAAATTAAGAGGGACTTCAAATTCCTACATCATATTGCACTATGCCATGTAGCATGCTTTTACTGGGATAAGTAGCTTTCACAATTATAGCCCGCAGCATCAATCGCTAGTAAATATATTATATGTACACAATTATTCTCTTGCAATATCTCTGGATATGATCCATGGTCCCTGACTGGTCATTATTTCTTTCCTATCAATGAGTGAATGATTGGAGAGTGCTGAGAATGTGCAATTCATTTTGGTGCTCGTGGATCCTAAAAATGTTTCAAGCTGATTATTCCTCTTTTTGCCACATATCTCCCTCTTCCCAAGTACAAGCAAAATGCACAAAAATGTTTACAGCACCTTACTCCTGAGCCGGACAATCAAAGTTGTACTGCCTGGGAGGTCTAGAATGCCAACAATGTCTGGTCTGCGGTAAGAGGGATCTGCGAGGCAGCCAATTAATTGCAATGGGTAGGTAAAGCCCGGGTGATACACAAACAACATCTACCCACTACAGGCAGCTCTGACTTAAGGCCCAGCATAAACTACAATGGGGTGATTACAAGACTGGTCACCCTTATTAAGGTAAGGGAGCAGCTGTGACCAGTTGAGTCCAGTTAATAATTTAGGGAAAATCTTTTTTTCTTTTCAGTTTTTGCACATGATTGAGAATTAAATGGCCTGACATCTAATGTGGCAATTATGAGGACTCCCACTCTTCCTGTTATTTTATATTACGGAAAATGCAACAGGAGGAGTTGGAATATGGAAAGGTAGATGGGAACACCCCTATCTCCCAGGGGAACAGGAAGAGTTAGGAATTAGGGCAAAGAGATCAGGCTGTTGAAGTAACCAACAAGTCTATGCCTCCCATGAGGCCACTTGTAGCGGCTGCCTCAATCAGCACTCAGGGAGGCACTGTGGGAGGTGGCACTGAGGCCGGAATGTGCATGGGTCAAAAATAGCCACTTCAGGTGGCAATAAACCTATGTGCTTCATGTCACTAAGATATTTTATAGGCCAGGGTCTGACCTTTAAACTCTACGCATTTGCCATGACTTTAAATAAATAACAAAATTATCTATTAATAGCTTTGACCTAATTTCTTCATGATTTTTTTAATTATTAAATGTTAAGCAGGCAATTGTGGTAATTTATCCAGAATTTTTATTTTGTAATGTGTGCCAATTGCAGCTACTAGGCACATCCGATCAGATTTCAGGCTAATGTAATCAAACTTGTGGATTCTAGATTTTAATTGGCTGCTTTTGGGTCACTACATTTGGAACTTTGAACTTTGGCTATTTAAAGTGCATCTAAAGAAAAAACTTTTTCCTTTTTAAGTTGTGAGGGGTTAAGACCCATGTCTGGTTTTTACTACTGTCTGGGTCCACACTAGCAAAATGTACTTTCTCTTGTTGTCCTGGTGACTATTGTCACAAAATTTTGAGTTGTCACTGGAACAGGTAAAGAGAACAAATCTTCCAATGAGGGCACTTGTTTCAGTGACAACTGTCATGTAGGGAATTTCCACTTGCTTTGGAGAGATTTCCTCTCACATCCTGTTGTGTCTATAGTACAGGAAATTAAAGGAAATCTTTTGAATGGGAAAGCAAGAAACCTGACAGGGATTTTAACAGTTCACTATTTTATCCATAATGAAAATGTTTTGGCTTCAGATATACTAAATAACCACACTTATTTTGCTAACAGAAGGCAGTTGTTAATCTGGATGAAATATATCAAGAAGACCCAAAATCCATCAATATTTTATATAGGTGTTAATTTGGAGGTTACCTGTCGGAGGTCTGCGACTGCGATGTGCTGCAGAAAGTTTGACGTTGGCATCATTATTTGTGAGAATAGCAGTGCAATCAAAATTGGGGCTGCTTCCAACAAGCAGAGATTTCTGGAAAAAGACAGAACAGTTTATTGTTAAGAGACATTAAGGTGCCATTAAATGCTACTAGGTGGTTTAAAGAAATTTAAAAAATTGCGGCATAATATTTATACAAAAAATATAAACATTTCAGGACGCTGTCTGGAGAACTGACTATATTTACGTAGGAACTTCAGTAAAATATTTAAAGTGACACTATACTCAGGAGTTAAACCTTAAAAATGCATTCAAGTACCCCAACTATTAACAGAATTGTATCTTATTTGTGTATCACTTGTTTGTAGATCCTCAAATCATCTCTGAATTGATACCACAAACATTTTAGATTAGTAAGAGTAGGGACAGAGACCACCTGACAGTGCATACCAACATGTCGGGACCAGAGGTGGATTAGCCCCTCGGACGGCCCCTATTCATGTTAAGAAAAGAGTTCAGGGGTGTGTGCCAGGTGATAGGTAAAGGGACAGGAAAAATCATCATTTGAAATAGTCATTTTAGGGGGGACTGTAATGGAAGTGGTTAAGTATGATTATGACAAAATGCCAATTGATAGATCAATTGTAATATATATGCTAATTTGCTCTCTGCTCTTTCCACCCCCCCAGATCCGAAGTATGCAGTAGAAATAGGAACCAAGTTGGCGCCTCCTCTTCAGACAACACACACAAGACGAAAGATATAAACATCTATAAACATCTTGGCAGGAAGTTATGCATAAATGGATCTAACCAATGATAAGCTAGAATATATAAACTAAAATACTTTTCTGCAATGCTACGCTCAAATATACACGTTCACCTGTTAAATAAAACCATGAAAAGCAGAACAATAAAAAGGAGAAGTGTTTTTACACTGACTGAGTTGGCGTGATTTCATTTTTATCTCCGAGGGTATACCCTGTATAATCAGGCCAGGCGGCAGATACAAGTATGGAATTTTTTATCCGATCTAAATTTTTGAGCAGGTCCAAAACACTGACACTGTCCTTCCTTCTGGAGGGTGGCTACTTTTGTTCCCCATAGCCCATGTGTTTGTTATAAAGTTGTCACTGCTCCAAGCTCACTCCCATGATAGACTACAATCTCACTTTCAGTTTACTCATTTGTATTGAGATTGTAGTCCATCACAGGAGCCAGTTTGGAGTGGTGGCTACTTTACAACACACACACAGGGACCATGGGGAACAAAAGTAGCCCCCTCCAGAAGGAAGGACAGTGTCAGCAACAATTCAGAGATGATTTGAGGATCTACAGCCAAGTGATACACAAATAAACTACATTTATGTATAACTTCTGAGTTTAGTGTCACTTTAAATTGCATTTTTTAGGGAAAATTAAAAAAAAAGTCAGGTGTTTATTGCTGTGTGTCCCCCCACTGAGAAAAGTCACCCTGTTTAATTCACTGTTTGTCCTGTGATCATTGTTATCAAGACAGAAAGTATTGGGAAATGCCACATTTTTACAGCAGTCACAGGGACAGGAATAGAGGGAAAAACATCCGATGGGACAACTGTCTGAAAATGATTTCCCCTCGCCCTATAGGTATTTCCTCTCAACAGTCTACAGAAGACAGTGAAGGAATATCTCGCCAATGGGACGCAGACATCCATAGAAACAAAGAACACAGGGATGCCCAGAATAATGTGCTATTGTTCCTTCATTGTCCAATTAGCAAATGGGCTGAACAGGGAAGAAGTACTTGAGTTTTTTGGGTTTTTTTTAGTTACCAGTAGTCACCGATCAGATGAGTAATTACTACAGTATAATTTCAGGAAAAGAAGGGTTTGATATAATCTTTACCCAAAATATCCTCATGTGAAAAAATGTGTGAATCTTAGATGAAAAAATTAATGGACCACAACATTTTTAAAGGACATTTTGGGGTGTATTAAGGATAAAGTTGTTTATTTAGTGTACTGTGTATTTATTTATTTTTTTGTGTGTGCACTTGATTGTTATTTGTGTACTGTGACTTAACATTTTTTTATAAATTTTTTCCTTTTTTAAAAATATAAAGATAAAATAATTAGGTTACCAAACTGCCATTTTTTGGCACAAGAACATTTGAAGGAGCCAAATAAACCCCTATAAACTACCAAAACTCCCAATTTATGTTTATTTTACTCCACAATTTTGCAAAAATCTCCTGCTTGTTTTTTACATTTTGGAGATATGAAAACGGAACTCATCCTAATTTTAGTAACACTTAAATACATTCCAGTATCTGATGATTGTCTTTCGTACCGAGATCTGAACAGTCTTATTGGAGATTTCGTGTGAGACTGAAGCAGGAGTGTAAATTATAGGAAGTATACCCATTCCATTATCTGCCAGCAGCACTTCAGAGATCTGGACTGAGGAGGTGGTCTACAAAACACAACATAGACATCAGGGTTTAGAGCGTGTTTCACAATAACACATGGACATTCACACAGGTGTTTACCTATAACTTACCTGGATGTAGATGCCATAATCCCAACATTTCCATAATATAAAACCTCTCACATGTGAACACACTGGAAGGCCATCTTCATTCATGAAGATACCATATAACCCACCATGAGCTTCATTGTTGTACCATTTTGGATTGGGATTAGAGAAACCTGTAAAAACAAGAGAGCCGATTCTTTAACATCTGATGATGGTTTTAAAATGCAAATCCACTGAACAAACTTTCTCTATAATGGGTGGGTCCATGAGAACATCATTTGACTGCTGCACAGTCTTAAAGACATACTGTCACCTGCTTATTCAGAGCCTCCTGTTAGCCCTCGAACCCCCCGCCCCCCAACAAAGTATAATCCCCCCATAATCCCCCACTCCCTCTCAGCCTTCCAGATTTATTAGTCTACCTTAGGTAATGATCCCACCAATCTCCCCCAGTGACCGAGTTCGGGCTTGGCAATTAGAGGTGGATCAGTGAAATGCAAATCATATTTAGCAAAATAATAATAAAGTAAATCTTTTTTTTCTATGTAAAATACAGAAATGTAATTCTTACCAGAACATGGTTCACCATTAATACGATATCCGGCACGCTCAAATCCTGCCACCACATTATTCTGCAGTACAACGTCAGTGCCCTCATGGATCTAAACATGGATGTTATTAAAAAAAACACATTTTTTTAAGCATCAAGAGAAAAAATAATATCTATCTATCTATCTATCTATCTATATCATACATATCATATTATAAGGTTCATTAGGTTAATATTAAAACTAGGATCAGTTAGTTTTAGTATACCAGGTGTCAAAAGGGGGCTCTTATCATGCATTCCTCCAAAAATTATCCAGATGGCCAGACTTGAATGATGAATTAATCAAAATAGCTTAATATATGCAAAGGATGAGCTAAAAGGAAAATAGTTTTCTGCTTGTGGCAGGTTTTAAAACTGCAGCGCCTGCACTTGCCAACGTCTCAGCCATAAAAGTGTGATTACATCAAGGAGGCAGTGGGCAACCAGTAATTGTTTGTACTCTTTTGGCACGTAAGGGTTTACACCATACTTCCCATAAAGTGTTCATTTTATCTGGACAGGCTTTATTGTTTAGACTTTTTTAAATATGGAAATATTTAATAACCAATATTTTCCAGGTTCTGCTGGGTTACTGCACATCACAGTCCTTTGAATTCTGATGTTAAACTGGCTCATGTTATATTATTGTGTAGTTATTCACTAAGGACCATAAAGGCAGCCAGCAATGAAATCAGTAAAATGCAAAATACCAACCTCTATTCCCGCATGCCACAGGATGTTATTGACCTCCTCCCTGTCTTGATATGTACCAGGCCAGACAGCAAGGGCCACAAGGTTTCCTCTCACATTCACTCGTTCTCCCATCACTCTAATTCCTGGATACACACAAACGAATCAATTTAAAAAAACATGACTGCCTATTTTGCTTAATATAATTTCCTGTTATGATTTAGATGATGCTGGCAATATGCAATAATTAGTCACCTGCCTTTCAATGTTCCTGGGGCGAAAGAGAACTTCTAGTTTAAAAAGAAAATAGAGTACTTTATATTTGTTTTACAGAGGTCTGTAATAACCCCTAAGATGAGCAATATATGTAATATACTGCAAGGCTCAAAATTTCCACTCACCTGCTCGCATTTGACGAGTGAAAATGCAGTGTAGGCGAGTAGAAATTCAGTCAGGCTTGCGGTCATGGACCGCAAACCTGACTTGTGGGAGCAGCTGCTTCTGCTGGGCTCTCTGTTCTTTCAGCCGCAGCTCTTCACTGAGCTCCAGCCAAAAACGAAGTGATTAGTAAGGTCTGCAGCAGACCTTACTAATCACCACTAGATTGAGTGTATGTAATATATGAGACATAAGAACATTTGTCACAAAAGATAAAATAGTTACGTTTGCTAAATAATATCATTTATTACATTTTACAGGTAGGGTTCTCCTAAACCCTATTCATTTTTGAAGTCCATGTATGTGTCCAAAGTTCCGAGTGGATGTGTTCAACGTGCCAAAATAAAACAGTCATGTTTTATTTTGGCATATTGAACATTTTCATGTAGTCACAGTGAGCATAAAGATCACTGATCTCTACAACTGGATCCATTTACTACTGACATCTATGGTGTCTTTACATTTATGTTTTAAATAGTAATGATAATAATAATTTGCAGTTTACCTTCTCCTACAGTGAAGTGAATAACATTGTCATGGACATCAAGTCCATTTGTATAGAAAACTCCAATCGCGGGGGAGAATCCATTATGGAAGGCACATCCCTTAACATAGGATTCATTGGAAGATACCTAAAAAAAAGCCAGAAAACATGGTTCCTGCAATAGCTAAATGGTTGTTCTTCAACAATATGTTTATTATCAAAATAGTTTAAATAATTTTCAGCAGCCATCAGAGACATATAAAGTATGAGGTAAATTCAAGGGTAACGTTCTATAAAAACATACATAGTAACATAGTAGGTGAGGTTGAATAAAGACAAAGGTCCATCCAGTTCAACCTATGTGTGTATGTGTATGTGTTTGTGTGTCTGTATATATATGGCTCTAACACTTCCCATATCCTTATAAATGCAGTGAAAGAAGAAACTCATCTTGAACATACAGTAAAAAAAACCCCCTCTCTTCTAACCTCCTGTTGCGAGCCAAAAAAAAGCCTAATAATATAGAGCTATTTCATTTAAACTGCATACTGCTGCTTCAGGCCTGTCGGGCAGTACATGGAATCAATGTCTTTTACCGAATAGTGCTTGGGGGCCATCAAAACAGGTTAACATAAGGTGGACTGACAACTTATTTTAGAAACAGAGTTGGCAAGCCTCGCATATGTATATCCTAAACATGTTTAAATGTATGTACTGTATCTGTGCTATAACCCAGTGGTTATGGATGCCCAATTGGCCAAACAACATAATAACATAGTCCTGCCCACTGCCCTAAAATGAGGAATCATTATTTTATTGATAACAAAGGTGATAAATGTAGATACCTTCTGTTTTTAAAAGGTTCTGGTGGGCGGCGGTCAGTCTTTGATTGTGATGTTATCTTTCACACATCACCAGCAAAACTGCATTGCTAAACTGTGACTTACTTTCAAGTGACACTAAACTCAGGGGTTAAATCTTAAAAAAATACCATAACTATTAACAAAAATGTTTCTTATTTGTGCATTACTCTGTAGCTGTAGATCCTCAACTCATCTCTAAATTGGTGCTGGCACTGTCCTTCCTTCTGGAGGGTGGCTCAGTGGCATCACTAGGGGGGTAACTGATAGTCATTTTGGTGTCACCCCCTCTGAAAAGTCGGGCACTCAGTCATGGACCTTGAGTCCAACAGTTGCACGAGAGAGGAGGGGACCCGGCAGCATACCTTACCCCACTGTACATCCCCACGAGTGCGTGATGATGTCACTCTCATGCGCAATGACGTCACGGTGAGGTGTCACTCGGTGACAACTGCACATGTTCAGCAATGCAGTTTTGCTGGTGATGAGTGAAAGTGAGGGGAACATAGGCAGAAATAAATCTTTTTAATGGAGCACAGGACAGCAAAAAAAAAACAACAACACAATTCTAATCCTTCCCCACTTTATCCAAATCTAGGGTTTTGGCTTGACATACAGAAATCTGTACTGAGACAAATATGTATTCTAGGTCTGGCTGCCTGTGGCTTTTATACTTTCTGAGTACCTGCCTTGCAGCCAGTAGTCAGAACTGTTTCAGATAAGTAACTTTGAAAGTACTGATTGGATAAGTGTAACAACCAGGTGATTAGTATTTAAGTCAGAACTATAGGTCACAGAGTAGCTATGTTTAGATACATGTGTAAGGAACTTACCTCTCCAAGGTTAAGGAAAGCCAAGGAATAGCGGGGGTCTATGGGGTCAGGGTAACCTTCCTGACCACTGTGGTAGAATTCAACATTCTCTATTCTTGCACTTCCTTTAAAGAGTAAAATTAAAAATGAAAGGCATGCATTATAATGTCTGTCTCTTGTGTGATAAGAGCTAGAAGGTGCAGGTCGACTATATATCAAGTGAACAGTAATTATATTTAGCGTACCTCTATATTCCATCCCATTGGCTAAAAATGTGCTGACAAGAACGCGAGCACCGAATGATTCTGTGTACCAGCCTGGGTAATCCTCCCCAATGATTTTGATGTTTCTAGTGAGCAGAGCCACATCTGCTGCCAGAGTGTAATTTCGGGTTGTGCTGGGTACTTGATAGGTGTTTGCTGCATGAAATAATACATTGTGCATAATTATCCTTGTAAAAAAACATGACTATCAAACATGACCAACATAAAACAAGACTATTAAACAGGATCCATGACCATTATATTTATTTATGTATTTATCTCTCATACTTATATAGCGCAAACATATTGTTCAAAGCTTTAACAGAGTACATAAATGCACCCAAAGGAAAGGATGTGGTCTTTGTGATTCCAGTAATGGAACAGCTAAAGTAAATGTGTAGTGAAAAGTTAAATCTGTTACAGACCACTGACTGGATTTAGTGCTTTAGCTCAAAATCTTTAGTCATTACTCAATGTTTTCTCTCCACTCATTGCCAATGAAGAAATCATGGGCAGGGCACTGGGGAAGTTTTCACCTGGGAGGCAAACACAGCCAACTGGACTCTTCTTGCTAGAGGCGGCTACCTGAGGGCTAAAGAACATGTGCTAAAGTCATAGTGGTGTGGTGTCTGGTGACCATGGTGAAAGGTTTTCTTAAAGGAAGTGATTATTGTAAGACACTTTCACATATAAGTATAAAAATATAGAATGCAGCAGACTGGAGTTCTGCTACACATTTCACTATTCACTAGGGCTAAATTTATCATTAGACACAGTAGCTGCATGCCTATAAGTGGAAGAAGCAAAGGGGCAGCTTCTCCCTGTATAATTATTGGCTACTCATTTTTTCCCCATAATCAGTAAGAATAATCATCTTATAAAATATTATTTACACAATATCACAATATTCATAGTCAGGTTATGACCAGGAGAACAAGGAATGATCCTGTTTTACAGAGATGGTCCCAACAGAGGGTAGTTACTTAGGGTGCTAAAGGTTTTGACCCTATGGAATACAGTGATGAAAATCCAGTCCTGCATTTCACAGGTTAGCATTCTTTCAGCATTGACTTCCTTTTCAGATTTCTGGTTTCTATCATTGGGCTGCATACATTATTAGTACTAGTACAGGGCTTATGCCTCTTTGACCACAGCTCGGTCCTCCCCTACCAGGGCAGTGACTATACCACCCAGCAGCTGCCACTGACTGTCAGTCACACCCTAACTGAGGTCTTAATGGAGAGTATTTCCAATCAGGGCCGCCATCCCAACATTATTCTTAGCACAGCCCAGCATATAGTATATATTATATATGCTTATATATTATATTAAGAGATTAGTACTGCACTCATGAGTTTTAATAAATTAGCTTTGTCATGCATCTTACCTGTGTGGTTGAAAGTAAGAGAGACATTTAAAGTGAGGTTTCTCTGGTCAGGTGACACAGCAATAATTCTCCTGGTTTCTGTCTGCCAGGCACTGTAACTTGTGGTGGTGATAAGGATATCCTCACCGACCTGATCAGAAAATATGTGTAAGTAAACAATACATTGAGATGAACAGTGCTAATAATTATGAATGCAGCTTTATCATATGGCTCCTAGCTGTGAAGCAGATATACAGTATACAGATGAGAAAATCCCAGGATCCTGCTGTCAGTTCCTACAAACCTACACCTATTGTATGTATCTTCTTTTGGTGTTAACCCAGCCTTTGGGTCCCTCCATACATATGCATCTCTCAACACATGTGCACAGGTTAGCCATTGTTTTTAATGGGCCTGGTTCACATGGTTGAGCTGTGTCAACATGGGCTGTAGAAAAAGGGTCTTGTCAGTGTTTGTTGTGTGCCGAGGGACCTACTATATAAGACATATTACTTATGTTTTCATGTACTGTCAATTTTTATTGCTAAGGCACAGGTGTGGAGCCGGCCTGTAAAGGGACTATTTACAGCTATGCGTTTTAACACGGAACGGAGTATTGTTTTATTGGTTTTTTTTTTTTATTCATCAACCAATTACCACACACTGGTAAATTGGTATATGGATAATATGGACAGTATAGTTTGCAGCTGCCCTACTATACAAGGCAAAACTGCCCCAGGATTCCAAGGTGAGTGGGTTTCAGTATGAACCAACTCTACCATAAAGCTATCCATGAAAAAGCCTTATTACGAAACATGATCAACAGCTGTCCATCCGCTATCTTTGCTGAACATAAAGGTTTTTGTTTTTAATGTTTAAAAAAAAACTTTTAATAGAGATACCCCATGAGAAGCACTTTCTTCTGCATCCCTATTTCCCTATACTACATGCCATGTAGTTATGGACATTTAGCTGATGGAATCTGAGAGACTTACTTAGATCACCAGGATGCACATTGGCTTTTGCTAAATCCATTAAAGGAGAACTATGAGATGAGTGATTTCCCTTTTGTGTCCTCCCGTTACCCTAAGGAGAACTATGGGGAAAAACACTGACCCCATAGTTCTTCTTTAAGACCAACTGAGAAGTGGTCCTAGAATTCTAGTAAGCATAGATAAAAGAGGAGTGTTTGGTGGTAGATTTTAGTAAAAGACATATACAATGCAGCTTTAAAAAAATAATTAGTTCATTGTTTAACTGGATTTATTTTATCAAATATAAACATCAACCTTGCCAATGGCCATTCAGTCATACCTTCCAATCCACAGGCTCTGCTAGATTGATGTACTGTGATCCGGCTGGTGCCGTACTTGCCAGCTTAGTTCTATATACAGAGGGTGGAAGCCCATGAAGATCGAGCTCTCCAAATACACCTACAAAAGAAACAGAATTCCAACATTTGTAAATATACTGGAACTGAAAAACAGGTATCATGTGTGGAATAGAAATATATTTAGTGGTATAGCTGTTACTTTGTACTTACCTAGAACCTTTGATCCCTGATTTGGTCCATCTGGCAATGGGAATTCTGGAGTTAAATGATTTCCTCTTAGTACAATATGTAGTTCTCCCTGGAATGGGTCTGTCTGCGTTCCTGCTACTAATCTTCCACCCTGAAAAAAGTAAAAAAAACATACATGATACCTGGAGCTCCTATAGTATCTTACTCTTCAAAGATCTGTTCTAACAAAAGTAAATTCATTTATGGGTGGTTTTAGGTGGATGGTAAGGAGATATATCCATATTGAGGAGTTTCAGTATGGGCCCTTCACCCTACAAATATCTGTGAATGCTCTTTCTGTGTGGATATATGCCATTTACTTGTTTCTTTGCAAAACAATACACAATATTTGCAAATTATTTCTTATGTAATACAACATTATGACCACTAGATGGCAGTAAGAAGCATAGAAAATAATTACTTATATCCCATGCTCCTTTAGTGCCATCTAGTCAAACGACCTTGCAAACTGTTTTTAAATAAACCCCAGAGGCACTCATTATCTCCTAGATAGTTACTTAAGTTTGGATTATCACAAACGTTGCTTAAAAACCATTTGCTATTATTGTGACATTTATGGCCAGAATTACTTCTTCTACTGCCTCATATAAAATGATATAGATGAAAAATCCAATAGGAAAAGTATTCTACATGGTAAGAAGACCTGACCACAACTCTTACATGAGCTTGTTGGGCATCGCATTCCGAAAATCAAGGACATTACTATAGAGTTGGTCCCCTTTTTGTGGCTAGAACATCCTCCACCCCACTGTGAAGGTTTTCCACAAGATTTTTAAATGTGTCTGTGTACATTTGTGGCCATTCACCAAAAGGAACATTTGTAAGGTCAAGTAATGAATCTGGGTGAAAAGATCTGACAAAAAATCTGTGTTCCAATTTATCCCAAAGGTGTTAAATAGGGTTGAGGTCAGGCCACTGGTGCAGATCACTCGAGGTTCTCCGCAGCTAACTCATCAAACCATATCTTTATAGAGCTGGCTTTGTGCTGAGGAGCACAGTCATGCTAGAACAACTTAGGGCCTTACCCCAATGTTGCTATAAGGTTGGATGCGCAGAGTTTTCTTAAATCCTTTATATCTTGTAGCATTGCCAGTATCTGAAACACCTGAACTCAATCAGGAGTAAAATGCATCAAGACCATGTAACCTTGACAGGCGTCACTTTCATGTGATGCAGTAGAGCCATGAGTGAGCATCCAAAATGTAACCCAGATGCATCATGGTTATTGCTTGTTTCTTGTAGTCTTGAAGGACATGAACAAACACCACCTTTGATATGACACTAAAGAACGTCCCCATATGCAATGCTTGGTAAGGGTGTGAGTTCCAAGTGAGTCATATGGATATCACTGCCAGGATTTTATACAGCTCAGGCATTTTTTTATTCTGAAACATTGGACTGGGGGTCATGGAATCCTCAGATGATTGCATGATAAGTATTACAAACAAACCTGTAAGCATGTTAAAAGATTTATTTTGCCTGTTCCGTCTTCAAATGGCAAACATGATTTCATAAATAGGTCTATGCAAGAGGATGAATATTGGCACCAATATAGGTGTTATTTGGAGGCTACTTACAATTACCTTTGAGTGGAAATTATTTTATATACCAACTATATGGCATAGTTTGCTCCATAAAACACCTCTTATAGTCATTTTAAAACATACAACTGATATTCAGTATGCTAATATGAGATCTATCTATATGACCTGTCTGTGGAATCATCAACTGATGTACATTTGATGGAGCTTTTGCAAAGACATTATTAATATTCAATTTATAATAGCCAAAAAAGTTGCTAATGTTAAATTCACTTTATTATTGGCTACCAATGACACAGTCATTTTAATTGGGGTTGTGTGAGGGAGGAGGTTTAGTGGGTATCCTGTATATTGTTATAATATACACTTTAACAGAAAAAGAAATACATTTTTGATATTTTAAAGGAATGATTTTACTACATTCTTCTTTACTCATTCGACATATGGATAGAGGTGATGGACAGGTGTCTACAATCTCAAGAAGGATGTATCTGTTCTGCTTCTAAATTGCATTACATTCCCTGTAGGAGAGTGGTCAGTTCCTTACCTGTATAGATATGTAGATGGCACTGAGTACAGTTGTTTTAAAGGTCCCTGTTGAGTTGTCTGTGAGGTTTTTTAACTCCAAAACACCATAAATGATAAGTTTATTCAGAGGGGGGATGTCTACATCTGTTATAACCCATTTGCCTGAAAAAGAAGGGACAGAACACGTTTAGCAAATCCAGTATGAGTCCAGCTGTGGTCAGTGTAGACTTTAAAACTGTCACTGCACTCTGGATGTTCTTCTTCTCGCAACTAGGGATAAGCAAACTTCCGAAAACTCAGAAATAAAATATGTAGGGATTAAACAACCCTCAAGCTACATGTTTGTACAGAGTTAAAAATATAGTCCTCACCAGTTACTGCTGCTGTAAAAAAAAAAAAAAAAAGAGAGACCCCAGAAAACTAGGGTTGGTGGTTGGGGGAACTTTGAACTCAGCGATCCTCACTGTGATTAATTATCAAGTGCCAGAGCAATATTCCCATGCTCTGGTTGGTTAACATTATCAGTCACTCATAGAAAATTGCCTTATCACATGTGAATAATTATGTAAACCAACCAGAGAAAGCTTGGGTAAACTCCTTGGATCCCATTTTCTGTCTGTATAGTATATCACAATAGGATTGACTTATCTGCGGCCAGCAGATGCAGTTTTCAGACAATACATAAGTGTTGGAATTCTCTTGACACAAGTACAGCTGATAGGAATCTGGGATGGCCTCATCCAAGTAATGGGCCTGAATACCAACCTGTATCACAGAAATGTCCACACAATGTCCACACAAATGTCCAGAGGTCCTTAGTGTTTGTGATTCTTAATTAGAACATCAACTAAGGTGAACGTTGAAGTATAAAAAGCCATACATAAACATTAAGATTGAAAACACGTTAAGTGTGGCTTTTTGTGCTTCTGTAATCATGTTTAAGCACAATCTAATAGAAAACACACGCATGGAGGACCTCTATGCGTGATGTGTGCTGACATTCCTGTGGTCCTGTTTATTGGACTGTGAGGAGTATGTTACTGGACGTCTCTGTGGGCACCTGAACTTTGTCACTGGAGGAGAGTGATTTTATACCTCAGAATTGTTTCAAGGGAACTGTCACGGATCGGGACTCATGGGTATGAACTGGAGTCAGGTATGTGGACCGTTTCCACTACACTGGCAGGGACACTTAGAGAAAAGGGTCCAAGCAGTGTAGGCTGATGACTCCCAGAGCTGGAGTACAAGCAGGGAACAGAGCAGGGGAACTGAATGAGGCAGTGGAAGTCGGTTTAAGCTCGAACTTCAAATACAAGGCAGGGTGATGCAATGCTGAGTAGGTGGCATGGGGTCACCCAGGATGTGGAATCTAAGGGCCAGCCAGTGGTGGAGATGGGCTTGGCTGCGTGCTGACCCCAGGTCACAATCCCTAGGTCCACCCAACTCACCTAACAGGTACAGGGTACAAACCAAAGGTTAGGGACAGGCTGAAGACTTCCAGGGACAAAGCGAAGCACAGGGTAGACTGTAGACAGGGATTTCCAAGGACATAAGCAAAGCACAGGACAGACTGTAGGCAGGGATTTCCACGGATGAAAGCGAAGCACAGGGCAGCCTGTAGACATGGATTTCCAAGGACAAAAGCGAATCACAGGGCAGCCTGTAGACAGGGATTACCAAGGACAAAAGCGAAGCACAGGGCAGCCTGTAGACAGGGATTTCCAAGGACAAAAGCAAAGCACAGGGCAGCCTGTAGACATGGATTTCCAAGGACAAAAGCGAATCACAGGGCAGCCTGTAGACAGGGATTTCCAAGGACAAAAGCTAAGCACAGGGCAGCCTGTAGACAGGGATTTCCAAGGACAAGCCAAAGGTACGGTACACGGGAAAACTTCCAGGAATTCAGCGTAAATCACAAATGGGGGACTCTGCAACTAGCTTGGGAAAGCGTTGCTCGGGCAGCGTGCCGTTCGCTGCCCTGAGTTTAAATTGAGACGAGAGGAAGAGGGATCCACAGGATTGGCCACAAGCGGACTGCACTGATTGGCCGAGAAGCTGTATAAGAAACAGCAGGAGAGGTCGGCCGACGCCTAACGCTGCCAGGCTGGTGCAAGTGTGAGTCAGGTTCAGAGCACATGCCTGGAGGACTACAAGCACCAGAACAGCCCTGCATGCCTGCAGAACCAGGGGTAAGAGATATGTATATACCTGTAGAACTACAAGTAACAGCTCAGCTGCAAGTCTGCAGCTGAACTGTGACAGGTACCTACTAGGACACCTAGGAAGTAGTAAAAAATATCCACCTCATGTGGAAAAGAACCTCATCAATATCACAGAGTTAGGGGTGTTTTTATAATAAACAATTGCAGAGCTATTCGTCCTGTGAAACTGCATGCACGTACGCTCTGAATTGAACAAAATCGAATGTTATTAGGCTATTTTTTCTCCAGGTTGAATGTTTCATTCAAAAAGAAAAGGTTGAGCCAGAAAAATACTGCATAACATTTTTACCTGCAGGAATGATGACAGTCGATCCTTCTTTCGGAACGGTATAATTGTTCTCTACAGATGATTGCCAGAAGGAGTTGTTAGACCAAAGACTGGAAATGAAATGACATACCTTTTAGTACCATGAAACATGTAGGCTTTATAATAAGTAATGACTAGAACTCTAGTGCCACAGCTTGGTGTAAAACAGGGTTATTATCATTGCTATTGTATGGACAAAAGTTAGAAAATGTACCCCCCAGCACCGTGTTTATTACATAAAAGCTCTAAAAAAGATGGTGTAAGGTCAGCACCTCCAAAAGGGTTACCTAGGTGGGTCTGAGACTGAATTCAGGTAACCTAAAAGCATCAGCATCTTTGTACCCTGTAAAGTGTTACTGTAAGACTTAACAACATGAGCACCATTAAGAGGTGGTGAGGGTACATATTTTAGCCAAAATACAAACTATTATCTCATGCTTTTGTGAGCTTTGGTCTTTTGGGGGGATGTGTTTAGGTTTCCTATCAGCCCTCCTGCTTATAAATAACATGGACAACACTAAGGCTGTGTTGAGTATCATGCAAACAAAATGTAATTTTTAGGTTTATTTTTTTACTTTTAGTATGTTTTTAACATTAAAAGGGTTTCATGGATGGGCTCAAAAACTGTAAAACCAGCACACGATGATCTTCCAAAGAAATTCAAACTTTATTCCACTTGCATCTATACAAAGAACAACCACTGATGCGTTTCTGCCTTACTCGGCCTTAGTCATAGCTGGTTGTGATCTAACACCAACCCCACTAAAATAGTACGCCACACAGGACAGGGAGAAACACTTAAGAAAACCTGTATCTAAAAAACAGTCCATCTGATTACCACTGGGTGTGGTCTGTGACCGGTATCCCATAAAACATGTCATTTTTTTTGTGTCAAAACCTCTGTAAGGTTTTTCATTCCATGTAAGTTTGGGAGATTCATGGCCACCTTTTGTCCTGGTTGCCATGAAGGACAAACTAAAAATTTAACAATTTCCACATGAATGTCATCAGAGAGGGAAACTCCTAATGGGGAAAGCTGTTCGGCTGTGAAATTTGGTATCACTTTTAATCACTTTCTGATGTGGTTCTGAGAAGAGACGTAAGTGGAAATCTACACACACAGCAATAATCTAAAAAAAATGTTAGGAACTTCTTTACTCTATCCAAAACTAATAAAAAAAAGTTTGGTGGGAGTTGCACTTTAATTCACCAACACATTTCCTGACTCTTCATGTTTTGGAGGAACAAGTTTAATTTGTGAATTCTTAGAGGGGTAGAGACTGATTAAATAGATACAGTATGCATATTATTGTATTGTGGTATATGCCTGACATCTAGTGGTACATTAGAGCTACTACAACTGTATACATTTGGTATTTCCCACTGTTCCCCCCTTGTTTAGTGTCAGCTGGTATAGTTTTAGATAGACCCTCCCTTTTTATTTTCTCCCCGCTTGTTCTTTTGTTTAGTGTCGGTTTGTATAGTCTTAGATAGACCCTCCTTTTTTCTTCCATGTTCCCTCATTTTATTGCTACCCTTTATTGCAGACACTGTGCTTGGAGGATCATTGACCTTTTACACTTCAATTGACCAGCAAACATTCTCTGTAAAGTACTTTGAAAAGGAAAACTATTTTGGATTTAAGCTTCTGTGTCTTATTGTAGCGTTAGACTGTCTGTTGATTGCGCTGATTCAGCTGGTGACCATACTGTCTGGAAAAAGCTACGTCAAAGCAGACAGTGGCTCTTGAAACAGAACCGTTTGTATGCATGGTTTTTTTTTGTGCTCATACTTACTCATGTAGTGCAGGGGTCACTGTTGCTTTGGTGGGAGGAGGTGGAGGAGAAGGAGGGATGCAGTTTTTGAAGTAGCACTGATAGACCACCAAGTTCACATTTGTGTTAGACATAGTTGTATCCAGAATTCCTGCCACTGCGCGTCTGCTGACTTTGCGTTTTCCAGACACTACAAAAATAATGTTATTGTGTAAAGATAAAGTACTGAATTTTCCTTATACTCCATATTATGTTTCAAAAACTTTGTTTCTAATGGTTGAAAATGAGTACATTGTTACACAATACAAAATAACAAAATATGCCAATTGTAAATAAAATTATAAAGCATATGTAAAGGTTAAACCTTTTTTTTTTATTTGTATAGGATTGTGAGGGGTTAGACAGTCTTCATAGTTGTTATTCCTGTCTGTGCCCCTGCTGTGGAGATTCACTTCTCTATTTGTCCTGGTGCCCATTGTCACTAAGACAGAAAGTGAGGGGAAATCCTAGATGTTAGAGTTGTCATGAGGGCAAGAGGCAAGGTATTGGAATTCCCTGCACTTTGGAGTGATTTCCTGTCACTGTCTATTGTATCTGTAAGCTGGGAAGTGAGAGCAAATCTCCCTAGCAGAAATGCAAAAATCACATGCTAGGGCGTTTAACCTTATGCTATGAAATGCATTTATTATATGTGAATTCAAAGGATTTGTGTTTGAAATTGCTCAGTTTTCTCATTCAACAGCTCTTGCAGAACAGCAGGAGAATGTATGTGGCCACTGTGGCTGCCCTCTGATCTGGCTTCAGCAACCCACTGGAAAGAGTAGGCATTTCAGGGTAGCAAAAAGAAGTTGAGCAACTCCATGCAGTAGTAGCCTCGGAAACTGATTAAAAGTGCTGGCAAAACAGCTAATTATCAGGAAAACTATTGTAAATGGGCACCTACCTAGGTAGGTCAGTGTAGTGGTGTTGTCATTGAAGTACCAGTCTCCATTAGAATTGTTGTTGTAGCTCAGTGGCTGTGTGGACCTATCACGCACATCAATTATGTTAAACATATCTGGTGCTTGAGTTAGGTTGTGTGATATTGTCACTTTTATATATTTATTTATTTATATATTCATTTTTATAGACTATGAAGAATATTAGACATCATAATTACAACTGAACTAACACAAATGTAGAATTCCACAGACTGAGAATGCTTTTTCTTAAAAATATCAGAGTCATCCCTGGACTCCTGCTTGCGCGATGCATCTGAGAAGAATCCTTTCTTCCTCTATGTTTGATTATTGGTTGTTTGCTGCCTGATGAGTGTATCAGCTAGCTGTCAGCTCATACAGTCGAATTAGTAAGGCAAATGTTAGGTGGGCTTTTTTAACAAACAAAAGGTCTAGTGCTGGAAACATATCCTGTCTGGTCACTTCTTTTGCTCAGTATGAGCATATTTCAAATATCTTGCATTGCAAGAAACTGTGTGCCATAGCACTTCCTTTTTTATACGCCAAATCCTCCAACATGCTTATTTTACAGTATATTGGGGGCGTACACTGTAGTAGAACCAAAATAAAAACAAGAAAAGTATGGTAATCTCATTAAAGGGAAGTAGCTCACAAACTGGCCAGCTAATATCAGACTCAGGAGGGGAGATCTAACCACAGTGTGAAAACCGTTGCGCCTTTTAAAAAAAACAAAACACCAAGACACAAGTTGGGGAGGCATTAGGCAAATCTTCAGGAGTGTGGAGAAATGTTCAGAAGCAGTAGCTGGCATTTCTAACTTGTTTTTAAAAGGGAAAGCTTCCAGGCTAGGTAAGTATCTAGATATCACTACCTGACCAATTGGGCAGGTCTTCTCCTAGAATCATGACTGAAGGACATGTATCAATGATCTGTAGCATTTATCAATTGTCAAGATTAGAAAGACTCTAGGATTCAGTTACATGGCAGTGTAAGAACTCGGTGACCACTTTAATGTTGGGCATAGTCATGAGTCATTCAAATAAAACAATGCTGTATTCAAGGATATTCTATATGAACCACAATGTTACAGTTCCCATCATAAATTTGTTTTATCTGCTTAATAACCATATCCCTTTACCTTAAACCCATAGAAAGTGGAAGTGTATGAAATATTTGAGATGAAATCCACTTGACTGAAATACCAGTTGAAGGAGTTAGCATTAGGCAGTAAGGCCATCCATCCTGGCTTGTGAGTTAAACGTTTTGGTAAGAAGGGAACAACACTGACACCTAAAATGAATAAAAACATATCTGAGAATTGTTCAAAAGAAGAAGAGATCACTCAATGTGGTTCTAATACTCTATCACTTTTAGATACTTGGAGGTACTCGCAATTATCACATTTTAATACCTCTCTTCCTAGTCCTTTACGATCCATAACCGATCTTCATCCTCTGGAAGAACTAATGTCAACCTCTGCTCCAAATAAATGTATGTTGTCCCTATACGCAGCCTTTCAGGACTGGAGGTTATTTATCTCAATGGGAAACGGAATGGTGGCATTATACTCCTGAGAATCTACATTCTATCTTTATGGAATCATCTCCGCTGTGCTGACGAGGGTGTGGAGCTGTAGCAACCATGCTTATCTTTGGTGGCACTGTCTGGTTATTAAATAGTGGTTGTCTATCGTTGGAAGTGATTCGCTCTATCCAAGCTCCCCAGTTAGCTTTGACCCTTGGACTTTGTTATTTCACAGACGAGCCCACAGGGCACTACAAGCGGTCCATTACCCCCCATCTGTTGAAGTCATCTAAGTCTCTTATTCCACTATATTGGAGAGTTGAAGACAATCAAAAACTCCTTCCTTGAGGGACTGGTTTAGCAAAATTTACCTAATATGCACTCTGAAAAAATTGACTTATAGTCCTAATGATAATTGAGACCGCTTATATAAAATTTGGGTCTGTTGGTTTGCGTATAAAACGTGTCTTATTTGAATGTGATGAACACTACCTCTTAAATCGAGTTGATCCTGTAATTTGCCATCAGGTTAGGTCCCTTTCTTTGATACACTTTTTAGCTGAGCTGTGCAAAGCAGTGGCAGCCTGGGGCACAGGGGAGTCACTCTTACTTTTCTTGTTTCTTTCCTTTCTTACTTTCAAAATCACACACTGAGTGTCTACTTTTGTCTCCTTCTGGGGATTATTTAATGTTGTATCATAATGTATTTGAGTGACAATTGTACTATATGTTAAATGGTTTCTATGCCCTGCTACTTTATACCTTTTATTTCATATGTTTGGAGTGAGAAATCTTGGTTCTACTCTTTGTTCATGTATCTTACTGAAATTTTCAATAAAAACTTATAATTAAAAAAAAAAGGAGGAGAAAGATGTTTTGATGCATACAATTTACAAAACAGAAAGTGTATTAGATAGAAAGATATAGGAAAAAATTAATATTAACTAATAAAGAAAAAAAAGGAAAATTAAGTAACTAAAAGAAAAAAAGTAGAAAAGGATAGGCAAATGAAAAGGAAAAGAATGGTGGAAGAAACAACAGAGAAGGTACTGAAAAAGTAAAGGTTAAAGCTACTACAAGTAGCTTGCTGAGGAAATTGTTACACGTCTACTTAGAACTTACTAGTAATGGTTTTTTTTTCTTCAATGTGCCTATAAATCAGTAAACTTACCAAAAGAGTTGGAAATTATAACATCTTTTCCGAGAAGGGAAGATGGAGATGGGTTATTGAATGCCAGTCGGTGAAAACTGACGGTAGAGTTACATATATAACCAGAGAAACCAACACTCCATTCACTACTTTGGCTGCACTCTGAAGGGTCAAGCAGCCCACTTGCTGGTACCACCTTTGCTCCCGTCTTTCCTAAATGAAGAAAAAAGTGTATTGCATAATTAAAAATTGGAGGAAATAGAAAAATATGAACACCTTAATATCATTCATAAAAAGCCTATGCTAGGGTTGGCTGGTGGATAGAGGTATCCAGATCCTTTTGTACTTTAAGAAAAAGGTAGGAGGAGCTCAGAGCAACCCTTATAATTCCAGTTCTGGCTTCTATGCATTTCAAACAAAGCGACTTTCCCTGCAGGTGGAGGATCTGGCCATTTCACTTACACTATATAGGCAAATGTTTGTGGACACCTGACCATCAAACCTATGTAAGCTTGTTGATTATCCCATTTGAAAATCATGGGCTTTCAGT